TATCATTAGGTCCGTCTCATCGAGCCGATCAATTTAACTACAATTTTGCTGAAATCTGAACTCCGGATGACTTTTGATTGAAGTTTAAATGTTTTTTGTTCAAAAGGTTGCCTCGAGATCCATGCATGCCCCAAGATTTGTGCTAAATGATGAACATTTGTTAGTGGCGTATCAAAAACATAGACTTATCTTATCAAAGCGAATAATTTTAGTTTTATATTCATCATTCTCTTAATCTTTTAGGAAGTTCTTCAAAGAAAAGAGAATCAAAGGATTAATATGTATGACAAAAAATCTATTTTATAGTTTAAAGCATTGAGATTTAGAACAACTCGATGAAGCTCCAGTTGGCCCAACCAACAACATTCAACCCGACCAACACCATTCGACCCGACCAACACCATTCGACCCGACCAGTTCCAGTTAGTCCGACTAACATCATTCGACTCGACCAGCTCCAGTCAACCCAACTAGTTACAATTGACGCGACCAACACTATTTGGCCCAACCAACACCATTCGCCCCGACCGACACCATTCGACTTGTCCAACTCTAGTCAACCCAACTATCTTCAATCAACCAACCAGTTTCATTCAATCTGACAGCTCCATTTGACCCGACCACATGTAGTCATCCCACCTAGCTACAACCGGCCCGACCAGCACCATTGACCCAACCAACACCACTCAGCTTGACCAACTCTAGTCGACCCAACCATCTCCAATCAACCCAATCAGTTTCATTCGATTTGAAAGCTCCATTCAACTTGACCGTTTTCATTTGACGAGTATGCTCCAGCTCTCCTGTCAAACTCTCGTCGGCTCGACCATCTCCAATCGACTCATCTGCTCTAGTCCATCCTAACAAGCTCGAGTCCGCCCGACCAGCTCCATTCGGTGTAGCCAACTTCATCGGGGCTACCAACTCCAGTGGACTCGGCTAGCTCCTGTCAGCCATCTTCAACCGACCGCACAAAATTAGGTGTATAAATATTTTTTTATAATAAATCCACTCATATAAATAGAGGAGCATTATTTATAATAGGAGAGTTAATCTAATATGAAAAAATTTATTTTTTAATAATCATTCAGTCTCTGGCTCTCTCATTACGTCTTCTCATTTATACCCTACTTTTTAGGTGTGACTCGTACCATCTCCGATCCAACACTTAGTTTGAGAAAAAGTAGCCTATTTTATCGTTTTGTTACTAGTGGAAGTTGTTTCCAGGGTGGCCTTGTGATTTATTTTTTCTGAAATTTTAGCATAAAAAGATTCTAATGTCCCCTCCCCACTTCACTATCCACCCCTAATAGTGGGGTTTAAGCTGCACCAAGATGCTTAAACTCTCTTAAACAAATCATTGCATGGAGAAATAACATCACCACAAAAGTAGGGTTGTCAAAACCGTTCATTATTTACAACCAGCTCGTGTTCGATTCGTTAAGTATCTCGTATTTAGTTCTTTTGCTAAGTAAAAGAACCGAACACAAATAATATTTTATTTGTTCGTGTTCGGCTCTTTTTTACATGAGATAATTAAATTATATATATATATATATATATATATTTGATAAGTATTATTTTTAAATAATTTATTGACTAGATGGCTACAAAGATTTATAATAAATCAAATATATTAATTTAAAAAGTAGAATAAATATACATTAAATTCTTTTTAAATTAATATTTTAATACAAATAATAAGATTTAAATCTCGCCCGTATTCTTAACACACTATGATGGCATGACTTGGGTTATCAAAATGACTCGTTCCTCATGAACAACTCATGTTCGGCTTGCGAACCAGAGGTGCAAAAAAAAAAAAAAACAAATTTTCTTAGCTCGATATATGAACAGGCCGAACACGAATATTTTTTGAAGGGTCGAACCGTGCTCGTGAGCTCGGTTTGTTTACACCCCTAACCAAAAGATCTGAATTAAAATCAATTTATAATTATTTTAAATATCATAATTTGTTTTAATAAAAAAAAGTATTAATTAAGAAAAGTTAAATTGACTTGATATTTAGGTTAGGTTAAAAGAAAATTTATTTTCATATAAATGATGTATGGGACTATTTCATACATAATATAAAAATCATATTTAGAAGTTAACAAATCCCTTTTATATCTTTATAACCCAAAATTTACAAATCATAACAACTTATAATTCTTAATTTTTGCTTTTAATAAATACATGTTATGGTATGACTCATATATCATATAGGGACAGACGCTGGATGGAAGCGGAGCGGAAGAATCTGTCTAAATCGGGAAGTTACGGGGGGTGGGGGTGCCGGGGCAAAGCCCCGGCGGCCGGTAGAGGAGGAGGTAGAGGAGTAATGTTGTAATTACATATTGTATTTAGAGTTTACTCTTGGGATTATAAATATGTGTGTTAGTAATCTCAGGAGGTATCCATCTATTCTGTATCATCTTTTCTGAATATTGAAATGAACTCGCCGCTCTGCTTCCGAGGACGTGCATCTCTTTGCCGAACCTCGTTAAATCTCTGTGTTCTTCTGGATTTGTGTCGATTCCTTTTTTTCTTCGCCCTAATTTCTCAACAATACTCGATGGGATAATTATCACACATAAATATCTGAATTTAATAGTCTGTTGAAGAATCTTTGCTATATTTATAATTATTTTTTTTCTCACAAAAAAACTAAAATTGATGAAATGTATTTCCTGACTTGCATTTTTTAAAGTATATTAATTTGTTTTAAAAAATGCTAAGAAAAGATTGAGATAATTTTAATATTTTAAACATGATTTGTGACATTTACATATATACAATCCAATTCCTAAGTACTTACATAACTAAATCCTAAACTTTATTTATTTATTTTTTTGTTTATACCAGCCTTTCATATTGATGTGTGCTAGAAATTTTGAGGCAGGAGAGTAGCAGATTATCGTGTTAACGTGGTACGACGATTCAATCCACACTCATAAAAGATAAAGTAACTAATAATGACACCAGAAGTTTTTATGTTGAAACCCGAAAAGAAAAAAACCACAAGGTCTGACACAATTGAAGAGTTTCACTATAAGAAAATTATTGCAGTTGCAACAACTTGTCCGATAAACATGAATGAGTTATTAGGTTTCCTAAATTACAACGCCGACGTGCTGATGAATTTATTGGCGGCGACCAATAGTGATTGACGACGTCTGGTCGATGTTTGTCGACGGTAGTGGGCGGAGATTGACGGTAAACAGAGATTAGTGGTGATCGATGACGGTTGATTGTGGTTGACGGAGGTCAGCGGTGGTTTGTGGCAGTCAACGGTGGACGATGACAATCAGTGAAAGTCGGTGACGGTCAACGGGGGTCGATAAAGGTCAGTGGTGATCGACTATTGTCGATGGTGGTAGTGTTTGACTTCAGATCCTTCTTAAAGCTTCAAACTCATTCTCATATCTCAAACTCTCATCCTCTTCATGAGAGGGGTGGAGTTCTTTATATAGTGTTCTGAGTGTAATTAATGCAAAAGTATGAACCACATTGGTCGAATGATTCCGAATGTTTCCTTCAACCAGACAACGTTTGATGGATATTTGTGTATCTTAACAATGATAGAATTGAGCAATATTAGACTCGTTAGATTCGTCTTGTCGAGACGCTCGATTTGGCTATAATTTGCTAGATTTCACTTTCATTTGACATGTTAAATATGTTTGAAAAACTTCCAAGTATGATTTAATGAATTGATCTGAGCTTTATTTGAATCAAACTGAACAAATTTTGATATCATTGGGTCTGTCTCGTTGACCCGACCATTTTAACTATAAGTTTACCAAAAACAGAGCTTTGAATGACTTTTTTCGATATTTGAATATTTCTTGTTCAAAATGTTGCCTCAAGAACCGTGCCATGCCTCGATGACTCAAGAACCGTGCCATGCCTCGATTCCATGCGAAATGATGCAGATTTGTTGGTAGAGTATCGAATATCACATAAAAAATAGTGTTATTATAATTTTTCAAATGTGATATATATATATATATATATATACCAT